GCTCCTTCCTAGTCATGCTCAGTGGGACCATATCTCGGTGTGCATTGCACTGGAAATCTAAACAAACAAACAAAAAACAAAAAGAAAAACAACATTCCCCCCCCAAAAAAAACCCAAAAAGAACTCTGTCCTTCACCGCATAGTCTGAGAAGAACGAGTGTGGGAGCATACTGGTGGTTCCACATCTTGCTAACATTCTCTAATTTTCATGTTAGTCTTTCTGGGAGTGTGCAGTTGTAACGGCACTGTGTTTTAATTTGTATTTTTCCAATGACTAAGGAAGTTGCACACTTTTCATATTTTTAGGGGTCACAACTTGGTGTGAAGTACCTATTCATATTTTTCCCCACTTTCAACATATATATTTTAAGTCTTTCTAAAACGTTTTTGGGGGATCTTTCCTAACTGACCCCTCAACCATTTCTATGAGGCAGGTGAGTGAAATATGGGGAGGGCAAGAACCTGATTCAAAAGTGAGATTCTTTTGAGTTTATTCATTCAATTAATATTTATGAGCCCCTACCGTGTGCCAAGCACCCTGTGTGACAAAAGGGGATATAGCAGTGAACAACATAGCAACATTCTCACCCTCAAGGAATTTATACTCTGGTGGGGAGAAGACAAATACTAAACTGGAAACTTTGGTTGGCAGTAAGTTCTGTGGAGAATATAGGATAATGGCAGAGTAACTGGAATGGCCCGGAGCAGTGAAAGAAGGTTTTTCTAGAAATAAATATTTAAAAATAAATATTTTAGAATAACAGGGAAGACATAACCATACTATGATCAGAGCTTTCCAGGAAGAGAAAATGTCAGGTACAAAGGTCCTGAGGTAGAAACAAGTTGGTCTGAGTATTAATTAGTGAGTATTCTCTTATTTGGGTCAAAATTGACATAAGAGGTGCCATTGATGCCTAGTACAGTGGGTACGGGTGGCATGCTCCCAGATCCTTTCGACCTCCTTGTGTGTCTGTGTGTCCACTTAATGTGGGTTTACCGCCCAGGCCTGTGACTGGGATGTATCTTTGAGAGACTGACCTCAGGTTCCTGGAGTTGCTTTGTCCACACAGGGTGGGAACAGGGAGAAGGTGAGGCTTGTTCCCCACCTTTCCACCCGGCAGCCCCGATCCAGGCTTTGAAGGGTGTAGGAGTATGAAAGCCAGCATCCTTGCCTGCAGTTGGAGTGAAGTCAGGGCGGACTGCCGGCTTTGGAGGCTCATGAAGGGGGTCAGACTGCCGCTGAGACTTGGCCAGGATCATAGCTTTGGGTGGGTTTTTCCTTCCCTTGCTAGTTTATTCTCGAGCACTTCTTTAATATATGGGTTGCCCCGAATTCTCATCCATGGTTCTGCTTTTAGGAAGCCCAACTTAAGACAGCCTGATCTATATTTTGCAACGGCTTTTCCTCTTTTTTTCCAAGAGTTTGTCTTCTGTGGCACCAGATGACAGCCTGTGCCATGAAGTCAGACAAACCTGGGTTTGAATCCCCTCCATTCACTAGCTTGGGCAGGTTATCCACTCTTTCTGGGCCTTACCTTCCTTCCTTATACAAATGGGACAAAAGTAGTGCCAATATTGGGTCATCGTAAAGATTAAATGAACGAATGTAAGCAGAACACTTAGATCAGCAAAGAGCTAAACACTTTTATTATGAAACCTGTCCAGACGTTACCAAAGGGTTCATAAAATGTTGCAAGCCTTGGGTTGTATATCTGTTTTACTCCTTAAAAAACCACCCTGTGTCCCTGGGGTTTGCCTCTGCCTTGGGGAGGGGGAGGAGGAGAAGTAGCTGCTCTGGGACGGGTGAGGTGTCTCTAATAGGCATCCTTTTGTTTACTCCTGAGAAGCACCTGGCAGGAAGAGAAGGTTTTATTATAATTATTATTTTTTACAAAGATTTTAATTATTTATTTATTTGAGAGAAAGCGGGGTAGGGAGGGGCTGTGGGAGAGAGAGAATCTTAGGCTGACTTTTCATTGAGCCTGGAGCCCAGTGTGAGGCTCCATCCCATGACCCCGAGATCATGACCTAAGTCGAAATCAAGAGTCAGAGGCTGAACCAACTGAGCCACTCAGTCTCCCCTATTATAATTATTTTAAAGACAGGAACTCCATTTTCAAAAAGGCTAAGCTGCCTAAGGAGACATGGTGTGTAAGTTGGAGCTCCAAGTCAGACCTGTCTGGGGGGAGCCCAGGCTGGGGACCCTATCTCCTTGGGGGGTGGGGCTCTGTGTTTACCTCCAGGTCCTTCCCCCAGAGAAGGGGCCTGTGTCTGCTGTTCAGGGGGAATGTCCAGTGCTAGCTGAGACAATACCCACCAGGCCGAGGTACTGATGATGCGGCTTCTTCCAGGGCCATGACTCTGGGAGTCTGGAATGTGATACTCTTGAGGTTGGACTGAAGACCCAAGGTTGTGCAAAGTCAGCCTTCCGTCTTCAGGCCGGTGGTGCCCTTGAGCGTGTCTGGGGCCACCGTTGCAGCTGCCAGAATCCATGCTGACTCCATTCTGATGGGGCTCCCTAGGAGCCCAGACCCAGCCTACCAAGGATAAGGACGCTTTTACAGTGAGGTGGGGTTTCAGCAGCAGGCGGATCCCGGCTGCCACAGCCCGGCAAGAATAGAGGCTTCTATTGTAACGATTTTGTCTGCAGGCAAATTAGGTCAGAGGGGGAGAGTCTGCTCTGTGGAGTCTAAAATCCCGGGTGCAGATTATACATGGGGAAGGAGCGCTGAGCTCAGCTGAAAACCCCTCCACCGCGCGCTCCACCAAGGACTCAGGGCTAGAAAACGCAAGAGCTCAGTCCTGAGTCAGCTGGGACAGCTCTAGCGACAGCTGCCCAATCCTGCCTTCTCGGACTTTCCTAGGGGTGACCAAACTCATTCCTACCAAGCTAACCACTATGTGTGATGCCTCCCTTACAAACGCGATCCTTCCACAAAGCTGGGGCAGACCCGCAAAGGTTCCAAGAGACATTTTAGGGCCCGGGGTGTTGGAATCCAGTCCCCTTACAAAGCGGTGCTCACTTGGCCTCTCATTTTCTCCAGGGCTGGGTTGCGGCACCCGGTCGGGGGCGGGGCGCACGCAGCCGAGCAGGGGCGGGGTCCCGGGTGCTCCGCAAACCGGGTGGGGAGGGCTGGCCTCACCGCCTAACCCGGGGTGTTGCTGTTGTTGTTGGTGTTGTTGTTTTTAACAACTACGTTGGGCTTTCCTTCCTCCACTTTAGCGACTGCATCCTGTAGCACGTTTCTCGTCCATGCGTGTTTTCTTTTAGAGACAGTTCAGAGCGGATTCCAGCCCGGCCCGGGGCTTCGCTCTTGCGTCCGAGCTCGCCAAAGGAGAAACGCGTTTTCCAAAGAAGAGATTGTCAAGTTCATGGAAATAGAAAGCGAAGCGTGTGCGTCAGTGTCACAGAGGCGACCTCTGCTCGCTGGCCATGCGTCCATTTCCATCAGGCTCAGACACAGGGTCACGCATAAGAAGAAACCAGGACCAAAAAGTTGTGAAAAAGCCTTCTTGCGGTCGGCCCTAGATCCTGGGCGTGCGCACACAGCTGCCCGCAGTTTTTCTTTAGCACAGCTTTCTCGCCCCGGCGCCTGGAGGTGGAGTTCGGGTGCCCAGGCGACAGGGGGACCCGTGCGGGACCCGGGCAGGGTAGCCCCGGGGGAGCAGGTGAGCGCTTGGCGCTTGCATTTGGTGTTCTGGCTGAGGGAGAAAAATGGGAAGCTTTGATCTCAACAGAGTATTTCTTTTGTTAAGGGCTTTCTCCACACTAGGGCCTTCTAGCCGCGGGAGAGTTTGACCTCCCAGTCCCTCCAGGCTTGGCATTTGGCTGTCTGCTGTTATTTTTAGCAAGAAGTATAAAAAGAATCTCAAAAAGTTTTAGCTGGGGAGAAAGTGGGAACATGCGGGTGCCTCCACGCACTTGTGCCCTTGGGGAACCCCACGAGAAGTAGAAAGCAAGTCAAAAACCACAGCGTTGCACGTTACTCTAGGGGGAAAAGCTCAGTGAGCACGGGTTTTAAAAGTGAAAGTTTAGGTCGCTGTTTTATGGTCGATTTTTCTAGACAGGGCGTTGGAGGTGACTATGGTAAGGAACACATTCTTAGGTTGAATTGTCCCACGGACAGAACTTTAGCTATACACTTCTTGATGAGAATGTAGATTTCAGTAATAATAGTACTTAATCATAGTAAAGCATTTGCTAAACTCATCTCAAAAAAAGACTATATCAAAAGACATTTATTATACCCCTAATGTGTGCCTGGCACTGCGTAGGCATTTCAGAACACCATCTTGTTTAGATTTTCAAGGACTTTGGACCCGAAATCCTTTACAAATAAAAGTATTCAAATAAAATCTTAAAATCTATTTCTAAAGCCCTTTCCCCCACTCTTGGTGTATTTAAAATGGTGCCGATTAACTGCTCATACCAAAACTGTTACTTCTGTTTTGGAGGAATTAACAAAGAAAACCCAGGCCAAATAAATCAACACCGAAGTTCAGAAGGTCAGAGCAATTTGTCTTGGGAACAAAGCCTTCCCTTCGAACTAAGAGGCATTCAAAGGGACTCTTGGTGGTAATGGGATTATTAAAGATATACCTGAGACCAGATAAATATTTGATGATTTCGCAAAGCACTATGGTTTCTCGGCAGTTTTTCTTCTGCTGACACATGTTCCCCCATGGGGTCCGGACCTTGTGGCTTCATTAGACTTTGCAAGTCAAGGGCGGCTGGGGTTTCCCGAGAGTGCGTTGTGGGGTGCAGGGCTGCGCGGGAAAAGACAGACCCGGGTTTACTAGAGGGATGTGCGCGCGCGCCCGCGCCCGCGCCCGCGCCCCCCCGCGCGCGCGCGCGTGTGTGTGTGTGCGCGCGCCTGCACGTGTGTGGGGGGGTGCGGCGCGGGCCGGGAGGGAGGGAGATGCGGGTTACAAAGCTGCCACCTAGAGGCGCCTTCCTGCAGTGTATATAACGCAGGTCCGCCGCCAGAGAGCTCAGTCCTGCAAACTGCTCAGCCCCGAGGCGGTGAGCGCTGCCGCAGCCGCGCAGGGAGCCCTGAGCCCGAGCCCAGCCCAGAGGTAAGGAAACTGCTCTCCGCAGCCCTGCCTGGAAAGGAAGGGGAGGACGGCGGGCAGGGTTTCTGTTCGTCAGCTAAGCGGTCTTTTTCAGAGGACTCTTTTTGAAACGCTGTGATGGTTGCTGAGAGGCTGCAGGTCTGGTTTCTGAAAAGCACGGGCTGCATGCTGCATGGCTGCCTTGCAAAAAGCCTGTCCGCTAACTTGGGGGCTCACCTTTCTGCTGCAGAAAGTAAAAAGGGTAGGTTTCCTTGAGTCATTCGTGGAAGGGACGCTCCATTTGTGTGTTGGCTTTAGGAATCTGGTGTTTATTTGTTGCTGTGGGTGTTTAAGCTCGGGTAAGTGGAGAATTTAGCAAGAATGCAGACTGGCCATTCTGCTTGCTCAGAGTTGGCATAGGGAACAGCCTGGCAACACTGCTAACCTCTTTGACTGGTAGATCAGTCGGGAAATAGAGGGGCTTGCCAGTAAATATGTAACTGTAGAAAGATGTGCACTTTATTAAGGGGCATCCTTAAGTGAAGCCCTATACCGCGCTGTGAATCTTTGTGATTCCAGAATGTATTTGAATTCGGGGCTTTGGGGGATTACTAGCTCCTGTAAGCCCAGAAGCTGTAAGAGTGAATGTTAATTCAGCTCGGTCTCCGTGACTTTGATTGCATCCTTGCTAGTCTAATTTGAGTATTTACTGTGCTCTTAGAAGGTAAGTCCAACTTCTGTTAGGAAAAAAAGGCACACACACAAGTCTAGGATTTTGTAATTTAAATATACCCTTCAGGTAAAGCATGACTTTTGTTCAATATTGTTAGCATGCATGAAGATTGAAGGGGTGACTGACGGAGCTTTGGAGTGAGGTCAGGGGTGGGTGGTTAGCCAAGACTTGTAACTTCCAGGGAGAATGAGAAGTTGTAAAAGTCAGACTGGCTGTCTCCCTCCCTCCCTCCCTCCCTCTTTTCTGTCTATCTTTTTTCCTTTCTCTTTTCTCTTCTCTTCTTTCTCTTTCTTTCCATTCACTTGCTCACAACAGGATCATTAGGTTTTCCAAAAGTGGAAGAGGGCCCCCTGACATGGTTTATAGCTCTTTGAAGGTATTTGGTGCTCTGACATCCCCTGAAACTTCATTCTGCAAAGTCTCAATGTGGTAACTTTTTCTTTTCTTTTTAAGCTCAGATGCTGCCTTTGTGTCCTTTTATTTATTCCAGGAAAATGCGGAGATCAAATAGGATTGCCTAGAAAAGAAAGTGGAGGCTGCTGGGGTCTGTGCTTAACTTTCTATAGATTTTAAATGGATAAACTGCCTGTCCTTCTTCCAATCAGCTCGGGAGCTTCCCCAGATGCAAAGCCTTTCTCTAAAGCGAGGTTGCACAGGGGAGCTCTAGCTTGGAAACAATTTGCTCTTTTTCCCCAGGTCTCTGCCATAAACACTTGAATGTGTGCACAACTGCTGAGCTGGATGCCACAGCCTCCCTGGGATGGGGGGTGGGGGGGTTGCGGCTGGGGAGTGGGGTGGGGGGTGGGGGGTGCGGCGGTGGGGGGGGGTGTGGCGGCGGGAGGGGGGTTGCGGAAGAGCAAAAGAAAATTGAGAAATGCCTGTATTTTGCTGCCTGTCCAGTTTTTAAAAGGGGGCATGCATTGCAATCATAGTTTTAAAAAAGTTCCAGAGAGTATAGCCGAGGCAGCCTGCCGGGGCTTAACTGAGTCAGGATTTGAGAGGTGAGTTTTTCCCTTATTAACAGCAAGTCCTGGGAGAATTGAGAAGGTATTATGGTTTCTAATCAGACCCAGAACAGGCAGAGTATAGGCTTTCTGGATGAAAAAAAAAATCCAAACAAAAAAACCTACTTAATCAGGAACAGTGGCTTTTTGTGCGATCATCTAGGCAGAGGGGCTCCCGTTTTCAGGGAAGCGTTGAGGGAGTGGCTGAAGTTACTCAGACCTGAGATTGGCCGACCGTCACTCTAGAAACCCTAAGAGTAAACCGAGGAGGAGAAAAACCTTCAAGACCAGGACTTTCGATTTTTCTCAGTGGTTTTTGCCGGGCACAAATGGAATTTGGAATGAAAAAATACAGGGTTTGCCCTTCGTTTTACTTTTAGGAATAAGAACCGTGTTAGAACGCCTTTCTAGTTGAGTTCCACACACTCAGGTAGAGTTTAGAAAGAAACCCAAGGCTGGCTCATGTCAAGTGTGTTTCAAGTCTGGAAAATTATAGCCCTGGGACACACATTTCCTATTCAAGTAAAAACAAACAAGCAAGAAAAAGAGAGAGAGAGAGAGAGAGAGAGAGAGAGAGAGAGAGAGGGAGAG